ATTTATTATAAAAATGCTCAGTGATTTTTGAAACTCTAGCGTTTTACTATGGGTAAAATCTAAGCATTTGCAAAAGATCTGATTCAAAACTGACATTAGAGGAAAATTCAACTTTCTGTCAGTTTGGGGATCTGATTCAAAGCTGGATAGAGACTTGACGGGTGAGAAAGATCAGCCTGGAGCCCAGCAGAGAACAGTTATCTAATTCTGTGATGCTTTTAATATTTCAAAATTAAGTTTATACAGATTCTGGATGAAAATCAAACTCAAACTTTTCCATCAAAGAAAAGGGCTTTTCAGCTGTACTTACTGGACTCTAACTCCAGAAGCAAGAAATTTGGGGATGCAGTGAACACACTGTGCTGTTAGTTGGCCCTGTGGCCCAAGGTGATCCATGTGCTGCAGATGGCACAGAGTCTCAACCCTGGAGTCTCTGCAGAGTGTAGCTGAAATTCACACCTCACAAAGAGCATCCTGGGAATGGCTAAGTTTGGCAGTGTCAACATGCTGCTACGAGGTCCTGCTTTGGGATGCAGATCCTGAAACTAAATACTTGGGAGGAGGTTATAACCAGCTTCTGAAATCTTACTTTGACTCCCAAATTTTTTAATCCTAGTAACAGCCACTTCATTCTGGAGGGTGGAGGATGGATATTAGGGGTTTCTGTCAAGAAAATCCAGTATCTTTTTATTTAGCCTATAAAATATCGTTGCTGTTTCTAGTCTTAAAGATTTAGAAATTTGATGTCATCTCCACCTGGAGGGGCTCAAAAATTGTATAAATGTGAGTGCCAATGAATGGTGGAATACTTGCATCCTAAGTAAGGCACACATGAAATCCTCTGTTTCACACACAGCAATGACCTACAAGAGTCCAGAAACATGGGCATCCCTTCCCAGCCACATACCAGGCACTGGTACCACTTGGAGATGTTTTTGGTTCCAGATTTGAGGCAATCAATGCAGCCTGTTTGGGTATTGCCTACCCAGGGTGTCCAGGTCTGCATCCCTCTGGATGCACGACGCCAAAGGAACCCAATGCACGTGCTGAGCAGCTTGTTAAGTCAAAGGAGAATGACTTTCTGACAGACAACAGGAATTGTGTCACCAATATGTCAGTTCTGCTCTCCTGTGCAGCGGGGATGAGGGCACACAGCTGTAAAGAGGTGCTGTGCTCCAGAGCCAGCAGCTGAGTCCCTCTGAATTGCCCCAAATGTTCAGCTTTTAGGGAGGAGCTGAGCACTGGGAAGAGCAGGCTAAATTTCCTCTTCCAAAGCTGGCATATAAAGATTTGGATAAGCATGGGGTTTTTTTACAGAAAAGCAATTAACTTGCTGCTCTCTTAGAAGTAAGAAATATCTCATTCTCTTTCTTCCCACAGTCTGATACTGTTATTTGTTCTTTGCATTTAATATGATTATGCCTAACTACTCCTGGGTGCCAAAGCTCCAAAGAGCAGAAAACCAAATATTTTTTCAATTTTACTCTGAACGATGCCTAAATACAACCAAATGAAATCTAGCATAAAGTCTCAGTAAAAATAATATACTTGAGCAGATCTTTTTTCTGCCCATTTCAGATGTACCTAATCTTTTTTAAAATTTGACACATTAGAATACTTACACTGGCTGGCTTTTGGCAGGTTATCTGCATCATGCACAGAAATACTGCCACACAACATTTTCTGCCAGGGAAGTCAAGATACAGAAACAGCAGAGGAGGAACCAGATATTCCTGCACAGTCCCTCCTCCTACTGCTGCTGTGATGGCACCTCTGCCTGCCACGGAGCATCCACACTGTGATGCACAAAATCAACCATCTCCACCTATTGCATTTCACAGCTGCTGTGCAGGAAAGAACAGAGTTTTTGCATGAGGAATTTCAGGCTTAAATAATCAAAATCACTCATTTTTACCTGATCTTTAAAAACTTTGATTCATTGTTTCCTGGTCTTGCTTTTCTTTTTTTTTTACCTTTTCTTTCCAGAGTTACCTACCTACATCTACCACATCACATCATCACATCATAACATCATCACATCATCACATCACATCACATCACATCACATCAATCACATCAATCTCCTGGTTTCACTTTCTGCAGTTTACAGGGTTTCCTCTTCTTTCCAGAGGGGAGTGCCATGCCACTATGGGGAGATAAAAGAAAAGGCATTGCACATCAGCCCCCATGTTTCTGCAGACTCAGGGTGTCAGTTTTGCTGCACACAGCAACCACAGAATACTGTCTTCACCTTTCAGTGGAACCATTTATGCTCTTAGGTTTTCTGGTGCTTTGCTTCAAGTTTTCTTATTTAAGAAAACGAAATGTGTGTAGCTCCTGAGACTGAGATAAAGGCAACAGCAAATGAGGAGACCTCTAAAGCAAGTTCTGTCTATTCTTCTTTCAAATAATCCATTCTTATTGCTTATGGATATTTAAATATCTTTCCTATTTATGAAGCATGCTGTGGTGCAGTGCTATAATACAGTGACTTTAAAAAAAGCCACTCTAAAGGTTAAGAAGGAAGAAGCATGTTATTATACATTAGATGAAAAACTGTCTTGCAATAATAATTGGACAGCATTTTACATTAAAGCAGAGAGAAGACTGAATTTCTCTCCCTGTAAAACTGTCTCAATCTCTTAAAACATTGAAAGTTCTCAGAGACTTTCAAGGTCCCAACTAAGGAAAAACCAAAGTGAGTTACTGGACTCAATCAGCTATTCCTTCAGCACAGAGGAGTTTCTAGGATTTGATCTTGCCTTTTGTAAGTTTTTTAGATTCAATCATAAAATATTTTATTTTGCCATTCATTTCAGAATTTGCTTAATATCACCATGGAGAGTGGGGTGGGGAAAAACATCTGAACACCAAATTTCAAAGAGTTGTTAATGACTTGTAGGGGTTTATTCTAGAGAATTAGCCTAATTCTAGATGTGGTACCACAGACAGCCCATGGCTTCCAATTCTGTGACTAAACAGCATTTTGACAACAAAACACGGCAGAGACAGTAACTGAGAAATACTCACTGGAGGAAAAGCTAATAGTGATGGAAAATCTGCATTAGCCTCTGCAGACCGGAGAGTGCTGGAGCAGGGCATGGTATAACCTTTGCAGCACCATAAGCACTACTTAGAGAAAGTAGCTGGCAAAGCCACAAGACAAGTCACTCTAGGTTAGCCCTGAGAGCTGCACGTGATCTGGCCTGTGGGGTGGATACTGAGAAGCCTCTTAGTGCCTGTAATATGCTTGAGCTTAACAGCTCTGTAGGAATGAAAGTGCAAAAAACCCAAAAGCTCAGTGTAATAAAATTTGACTCTAGCTAAGAGAATTCTGTAAATATAAGAAAGAGACATTAGAAGAAGGAAGAAGAGGGGTAAAAAAATGGTAAAATATTTTCAAGACGGTTGGATGCTACTTAAATTCTGAGCAGAGTTTCAAAGTCAACCTGTAAAATCAGTCAGAAAAAAATGCAAAAATGTTTCCCTTCTCTTTTATATAATATATGAGCATTTCCCCAGTGGTTTTCAGCAAAAATGTTGTGGTTCTATAATATTTCTTTTTATCTTTTTTCTTTATATTTCTTTTTTATCTATTTCATGTTTCCAACCCATGAGTCATTTGTCACTGTTAAATATTGATCACTGGTGCATATTAGTCAGAGTTGATTGCCTCCTGACTGGTACTGATTATCTGTACTGGTCTAGACTGATTCCCTCCTCTAATGTCTCCACTGAGTGACTCTGAGGACTCCAGCATCTTCTGGAGAGCCTGATTATTGCTCAGACACACAGAGGTTTCTGCAGTCTCTAAAACAGCCTGGCCCAAAACCTGAGATCCAGGCATGTCCTAATTTGGGAGGATTCAGAGTAAAAATTTGGACCTGATATTCCCTTAATTTCTCCTATGAATACAGGGTCTGGGATTTGGAGGGCCCTTTAGTGACCCCTCTCTTGCTGCTCATGTAGGCAGGGATAGGCACAGTCCCAAAAAGATCAGGGACATGGACGACGTGGGCATTTTGTGGAGATCGCTGCTCCAGCACCTGGGGAAAAGGTGTGCTGTGCTAGCGAGAGAGGAGTCTAAAGACTCCTGAGCTCATCCATGGCCATCTGTACCTACAGAAATGCAGGACTGGGTTTTGCCATGAGCAGGTAAGGAGAGATTGAATTGGTGGGGTTTGAGTGTGAAACACATCGAGTTCTGCTTGGGATTGCACTGTCATTGGGGCAGAGCATCCTCACAAAGATGAACAAGGGCTGTATTTACCAAGTGACTTTGAGCTCTGGTCAGGGAAGATGAGTGCACTCTCATCTGTCACCTTGGTGTACAGCTAGAGTGACGCCACTGGAGATGGGCAAAAAACATCTGAATAAACAGAGGGTTTGTGTGATCAGTGTCCAGAAAATCTGTGAATAGAGAGATAATTGATTACTTGATTATTCTGAAGAGTCTTGAGCCTCTAAGTATTTAGGAGCTGTGCCTTTCCAGACAGGTTTTCTGTATGGTGAAGAAAGCACTGCCTTCCTGGGTGTGCAGCACACTCCAGCTCTTTGCAGAGGTGAGGGAGAGGTCTATTTATGAGGTCAGGTAGATATTGACAGGTCCCTTAAGCCTACAAACTTAATAGGGTTTTGTTAATATGGGAGAGCATGTTGGTGTTTGCTTATGGATATACCGTAAGACTGAAGGTAATCAACATCATAGTGAGCCTAGCTAAGGTAAGTAAGCAATGCTGCTGAGTGGAATACCCAGTCTCCTGGGTTTAGTGCAGGGAAGAGCTCCATGCTTTTTCAGGTGTGCCTGACTCCAGAGCTAACAGCTTGGGGTGCCAGGTAATCCAGAATAGACAAAGGACATGGCTGGGGCCATGTGTGCTGACTTTGTTACTGGCTGCTGCTGTTGGAAGAGCATGTGGATGGCTGTCGTCAGAGTTGTACCAAAAGAAAGCTCAAAGGAATGCCAGCTTGGCTTTTTTTTTTTTTTTTCTATCACTCAGCTGCACTGAAGCCCGACACCTCTGGTAGCCAGTGAGAGGCTGGTTCTGTGCTGCGCTCTTACAGGAGAAGCCTGGCTGCATTAACTCTTACTAAAACCAGCACTAGACAACTTGAGCAAAACCCAGTGATGGAGGTCAAGTCCACAGAAGCCAGCAGCAGCTCCCAGGGAGGCACCGGCTGTCTGGATCTTACCCTGGTCACTTTCACTGAAACGGTGACTTTCACAGAAGTGGTGGCAGAAGAGGAGTGGGGATCCTTTTACTATTCCTTTAAGGTATTACTTTAAGGGGTGCATTACTTTTCTCAAATGCTTGCAGCTTTGGAGCTTTTTCAGCACATATGTGGGGAGGCAACTAACATTCTTTAACTTTTTTTCCCAGATATTGGTAGGTTTTTTTCCCTGCAAAAACAGCTGACAGCATGTGTGAGGCATTTACTGAAAAGCAAAATACTTGTAAAAATTGGACTTCAGATTTACATGTCTTAGCTAACTCTATCCCCTTCCAAGAGAGGACAGTACTGGTTTTCTGTAGAGGTATTGTAATTATACATGCATCTTTAGTCAAAAGCTTGCATTATTTTAACACATTTTTAATGTAATTTCTTAGATTCATCATCTTGACATAAGGGATTTCTTTTCAATTTTCCAGCTGTAACAAATATTGTACACAAGTGAGACGGGATTTTTGTTGTTTGGGTTTTTTTTTAATTGTGAGGGACAGGTTCTAATTTGTTTGTTTGTTTGTTGGTGAGTTGAGTGGGGGTTGCAGTGTCTTTTGAAATGTGTTGTTAAGAATGCATTAGATGAGTCATTCAGTAGTGAATGCTGTTCAATTGAATGGGAAGTGTATTCAGTCATCTCCAAAACTAAACATCATCCTAGCAATATGTAAATGGAGGAAAAAGATTGGAGAAGTTCTGAAGCTCACATTTCCTTCAGATTTCTCTGTCTGTTGCTACTGCTTAATTTTGTTCTGAATGCCATGTATCTCTTTATTTTTATGGTACGTTGTACAAGTTCAAGTCATTAAAAAGTCTGTCTAGGAGTGCCCTGCCATTCCTTCTGGACCTCAGCACCAAAGAGATCAATTTCAGCAGGAAAGATCCAGGCATTTATATAATTTGACAACATGAGAGGTAAAAGGGGATATATTCAGGAGCAATTCTGTATCTGTGAGAGTAGTAGTAGTGCTCTGACACAATCTTAGTGGAATCAGTGGAATTACAGCAGGTTCCCAGCCCTGGTTAAGAGGTGTTCCACAGTGCCAGTCTTAATTAGTGAGGGTCTCTTTTAACATGCTGCTTGAAATTGCTAGGGTAATACTTCCTAACTAGGATTTCAAGGGTGAAAAGTATTTTTTATTCCTTTTTTTTTTCCCCTCTCCATGTTAGACTCCTAAAAGGCTCTTGAAAAAAAAATCACAAGGGACAAGAAAAATATTTTAACAACTTTCTCTTTATCTCCTGTCTTCTTTTCACAGTTAGGGCTGTAAATTTGAACAATGTCATGGGAGCAATATTTTATAATAGTAAAAGTGACAATTAATTCCATGATTAGAAAGTCCCCAGGCAGAAAAATGCTCGTTAATAGGAGAGATTGAGTAAATTACAATAATTAGGGAACCAAGGATAGTCATGCATGCTCATCCAGAGCTGAAGGAAACGATTCTGTAGCTGAGGGCTTCTCATTTAGACTTGCTCTTGAGTCTCTGCCGGATGCCTGGCTCTGGCACATGTAGCATGAACTTTGCAAGGAGACTCACTGATTTCACATCAATTACTAGCTGTTGATAGGCATGGAAATATTTTGACTCTAGAGACGAGTGACAGCTGGTGCAGCTGTAGGAAAGGAAGGAGAAAGCACCTGCTCTGATGACTGCAGTGCAGGGAAGACAGGGCTCCCTGCCAGCAATTTCAGCACTCAGTAAAACCCACATGTGGAAGTTGCTGCTGATACCTGTTGACTCCACTGGCCATCATCATCCCCCTGCTCTGCCCATGTTGTGGCTGCGTCCTTGCCACTTCAGCAAGCCAAGCAGCATCATCTTCCTCTTTATAATGCTGTAGTTAAGCAGCTAAAACAATTCAAGTTTCAGTTTGGAACAGGCTGAATGAATTTGAAAAATAGAGTTCAGTGTTCTAAATATAGCTTACAGATAGGGTTTGGATTTTCAAACACACTGTAGCTTGTGGCTGGCTGTGAAGGCAGGGTGGGTGAGCGGTCACTACACAGGTTGAGCCCAGAGCCTATGTGCAGACAGAGCACACAAGCTATTTCTGCTTGGAAAATGCAGGTGTAACCCACCTTAGCAAAGCAGTCATAGGAAAACATGATCTAAACTGATAAAAGGAGACTAGGGAGTGACACCCTGTAACTGTGTTGATGACTTTTTTATGATTCTACCCAATGACAGCTGCCAGGGTATCTCACACGCTGCTCAAACTACATGAGCATGTGCTGGTGTCTTCTTTTCCTCCCGAGTGGCAAAAGGATGGCCAGTACCCACCCCAGGTAGTGTCTGTGTTGGACTGTGGTGGCAACGTGACAAAAATAAAATAATGTGCATTAGAGTATTTCAGTGTCAGAAAGGCTGAGCTGCGATTACTTCTCTTCCCAAAAAATTTGCGCTTCTGTCTCTTCCTCTGCTTAACAACTAAACCCTGCAGAGTTTCAGATTAGACAATGTTTTGCCAGTTCAGGTTTTTGCTGTCTTTTTGGGGGGAAGGCTGAGGAGAATTTCATTGATTTATTTTATCTCAAAAATGGAACATTTCCTCCACTTAGAGGAATGCAGATTTTCTTCTGGTAGTCATTACTACAGAAGGGCCAGCTGCTCATCAAAGCTTTGCTAATGATGTCTAATTCTGGGGCCATGTGGGCTAACTAAACTGACTCTTGGCATACAGAATGGCAGCTTTTGGGGCAGGACTGGGTGTATCCATGCATCACTCAGCATCCAAGAAGAGCTGGTGTTTTTCATGGCAAAGGCGTTGCCTCATTCCCACTGCCATTTAGGTCTTGCTGCTGTGTCATGGCAAATTGTCCCTGAAAACTCAGATCATCTTTCTTCCTGAGTGCCTTTTTGTGGGGTATCCAGGTATTTTATACCTACCTGGTATAAAATACCAGGTAGATTAGTGTCTTAAACTACAAGGAATTCTGCTGGCTGCTTCAGCACTTAATTCAGAACAGATGTGTAAATTGGCATTAATTACAGCTCCAACCTTCCAAGCCAAAGTTCATTACAATCCTTTACAATCTCCTCCATATGTCCTTAATCCATGTGTAAAAGGGCTCTAAGCATCAATAGCACCTGCCAAATACAGTAGTACAGAAAGCGCAGAAATCATCCAAATACCTGTAGCCTTTCTCTACTTTAGGACCTCCTTAACTCTGCAAATCTGACAGGGTACAAACCAGAAAACTGCCTGGAGAAAAGGTGGAATCTCAGAATAGGTTTGGCCTGATTTTGCACAATGTTTGGGAGGTTTTGTCAGGGCTAGAGGAAGCATCTCCTCCTGCCAGATTCTTAACAGACCAGAAGTTTTCACAATGGTAGGAGCATGTGCTTGTCCTCAGAAAGATTGGGCAGGGCTCATCTCTTTTTTAAGAGCTCTGCTGAGAAAGAAGATGCCCTGCTTTTACACAGGAAAGTAGAGCTTGGAGTGCTCAAAAAGAGAAAGGAACAGCAACTGTGAGTTTTCTCAGTGGGACTGTGTTCCCACCATCATTTTCTACCTCCCAGCAGAGCTGGGAATCCATCAAGTAGGACTTTTTGTTTCCTGCTGTGTACAGTCCCCACCTGTACAGCAGGACACAAAGGTTTTGCTGTTTACATCCAAGGTTGTTGGGAACCCCAGTGTTCCCCCTTGCCAAGTGGGAGCCCCAATCACTGCTCCAAATGTTGACACACCCCTGCCTCTGTGCCCATGAGTCCTGGTCCCTGTGCCATGTAGCAAGAGCACAGCAGTGGTACTGAAGTGTTACCGCTTTCAGGAGGAACTGTGTGCTTATCAAAACCATCACAAATTATTTTAAATGTGTCTTTGGCTGCACTTCCCCAACATTGCAGCATTCACTGTAACTGTGAATTTGTGTGTACCATGTGTTTTAGCCTATGTAGCTCAGATTTTAAACAGGATAGCATACCTAGCACAAGTAAGCACAACTCTAAGAACATGGGCTGCTTATCCATGGAGCTAATGCTCTTTACAAGGGTTGGGGTTTTTACCATCACCAGCAAAGAGCTGAGGAGACCAACATGCTGAGAGGTTTTGTAGGACTGTCCTGTTACCTGGATTTGGCTCCAGGTGTTCCCAGAGGCTGCTGAAGTCACAGTCTAATGTCCCTATCCTTTCATCCAAATGTAGGAGTCGCTTTATCTCCTGAAAAGTATTTGCTTATGCTATTTCTCATTCTGATTTTCAAGCAAATATCACAGAGCATCCCATCATTGAATACATAATAGGAAAATAATAATGGGTGCTGTCAAATTTCTGGAGTAATCTCTGCAAATGCAATCACACATTTTAGAAAATAGACATATCAAATAATTCAGAGGTAACTTTGCAATCTTTCGGTGGGGGAGAGGAGGAGGATTAAGTTTACACAAATACGGTGTCAGGGACTCCTGAACACAGCCTCTGCAATGTGCTGTAATGACTGTTGCTATTCCTGAGAAGAGAATGATCTCCTTGGGCTGCTGCCCTGTTGTTGGCCAGGCTGGCCTCATCCAGCAGCTTAAACACAGCACAGAAGAGTCTGGCAGTCTGACAGCCCAACAGGGAGCAGCTCTGAGCCAGGTGATTTGGGCTATTCTACACTGGCAAACCTCATACTACTGTCCCTGTGCTCCACACAGGCACATGGTTTGCACCTGTCTGCATCTCCTATGTAAATGTCCCTAGAAAGTATAATTTTTTTAACATTTTTGAGATATTTAAATTTTACCGATGAGGCATGCATAATAATTTTAGGTGATTAAGGAAAACACCACTTTGGAGTTTTAAATAGGGCTGTCAAAAATCATAAGATTATGGATGGACCTTTGAGTGGTCTAATATTATCTTTCTAGATTGAAAATACTCTAAAAAAATATAGATAGGTACACCATTAAAAATTTATGTTTCCTGATGACATTTAAATCAGGAATATCTGTCTAATTCTGTGGAATTTTCCTAGAGTGCAATGAGTAAAACATCCTGCAATAACTGAACAGCACTGCCTGCATTTCTTGTCTGTCTTGTACCAAATCACAACAGAATGGCAAATAA